GGTGATGGTGTCACCGTCAGCGTCGTATCCTTATTGAAGGTATTATCGAGGTGAAGCTCCCAACTCCTTCCGATACCTCCGGGGGAAACCCAAGATCAGTCGATCGGATGACGGTGGCACACTTGTGTCGTTTCCTCCTTGGGGCGTCATTCTTGGAGGCGTGCATTGTCTTGAGGGACCCGTGGACAGTTCCAGTGGTGGAGCAGCTTTCCATGTGACACATCGACGACGTGGAGTCTCGGCGGCATGGCAGGGCAAGGCCTTGGCGACAAATGTGTGATGATTTACGCATGCAGGGAGGAGGCATTGTCTGGCGCCATGGGGGCGTCGACGGCAGGCCTGGCAATGTTAATGCATCAGTACCTGCTCTGAAGATGGATCAGTGGAAGACGGCGGCGACGACCTATCAAAGCATGTCGGACCGGTTTGCGCCCCAAACCTAGTATGTGGCTTGGTTGGGGCATTAGATGTCAGCCATTGGTGCGATGTCTCTTTGGTATTAGGCTCGGACTATTGATACCTCTTCATCAAGTGGATAGGAGTAGCGATAAATGTTGCTAAGATCATGGCTTCAGACTACCTGATGTACTACTTTGTAAGGTCTTTATGAATAATTAATAAAATGGCTGCATGCGTCTCCCAGATACAGAGGCCGGGTGTCATCTTCCTTTTCGAAGAAAAATAAATGAAAAGCCTTCGTCAGCTTTGGAAATATTTGAACATAACTATTTTTCTTCTTTGGAGAATGCAGCGGGGTGATGATTCTACAAGGACAACAAAGGAATTATTAACTAGAATATGCAAGAGTACCTGTTGCAGTTTGGTGACGAGGAACAAATTCTCGGGAGAAAATGAACATTTTAATTCCACTAAGTGTCTTGAGAAAATGGCCATTTTAATTCCCCTAAGTGTCTGCTTCATTCCCGATGGCATGATTCCTCACAAAGAAAGCTAACACGCACGAATCATAACACACATATCAAATGGTAATGCAAACTATGGTGATGATCCTGAAAAGGAGAGGGGTGTGCGCAAAAAGGCTTATTTCTCCAGATAGCTCGATAAATATAAATGGCTAGCCAGTTCGTAATCTCAATGGAAGAGTTGCAGCCTTGCAGGCACCTTTCATTTGCTTGAGGGTGCCTAAGCGTGCAACTCTAGGGATGCAGCTCCTGCAAAAGCTACACCGGGGAAAGGGCCTATAGTGAAGAGGAGGCAAGGTAACAGGGAAATAGGAGATGATGTGGACATGATCAATGATGTGGCCTCCCAGGAGGAGGACCACGAGATCCAATGAGAGTTTTGTGCTGAAACTGTCGCGGGATTGGCACCGCCGCAACGGTGAGAAAGCTCCAGGAGCCATCGGTGGTTTGCATTGTGGAAACGTAGTTGGCAAACGAAAAAGCAAGTGGAAGGCCCAACACCTTTTGCTAGGTTTTGTTAAGGGTTTTGCAGTGGCCAGTTCACGAAGAAGTGGGGGCCTGGGTGTGTTTTTGTGGAATAGAGTAAGTCTTCGTGTTAAGAACTACTCGAAATATCACACTGATGCATGGGTGTCTGAACAGTGAATAGATCACCGGCCACTCACAAGTTTCTACGGTGAAGCTAACAAAAGTTTGAGACAACAAACTTGGGATACCATGGCTCATTTGAGAGGGGAATCCACCCTCCCATGGTTATGCATAGGTGATTTTAACGGAGTTCTCGCGCGGGGAAGAACAGATGAGACCAAATTTGCGAGATGTGTGCCAAATGAGTGGGTTCACATAGGGCATCGATCTTTGTGGTCTTGATAACTTGGGCTACATTAGTGCGGACTGGATCTTTGAAAAATGTGTTGCTGGAGGCCAGTTTTGCAGGTTTAGGCTGGACAAGGCCTTAGTAACAACGAGCTGGAGTGCGGCACAACCTTTTGTGTCAGTTCGGTACCTGGTGGCCACCAAGTAGGATCACAGTCCCATGTCCTTTGCACGGAAAGGGATCCGGAAACTGAAGTCTTGCGGTGGATCGACATTTCAGATTTGAAGCGGTGTCCGAAACTCATGTGGATTTCTTCCTTATGATAGAGAAGGTCTGGAAGGACGGTACCCATTGTGGCTCGGTTCAAGATATGCATGATAAGCTGACCAGACTGGCGGGTTCGCTAGTGACGTGGGGAGCCTGCAGTTTCAGCCAAGTCAGGAAGGAATTGAGGGACCTTAAAAGGCGACTTGAACAGTTTCGGTTAGTCCGAGGCAGGCAAGGCCCATCAGAGGAAGAGAGAAGGGTAGTGGCGAGAGTTATTGAACTAAACTATAGGGAAGAGATCATGTGAAGTGGTCACGTGCGCAATGGTTAGCTGTAGGAGATGGTAGTACAAAAGAATTCCACCAAAAGGCAAGTATGAGAAGGAGAAAGAATAGGAGCGAACAACTTACACGTGATGACGGGTCTATGTGTAGTAATGAAAGTGATGTTGGGCAAATGACTACAGATTTTTTATGAAAACCTTTACAAGTATGAAAGCACGGTAGGCATGGAGGAAGTTCTCTCGGCACATCAAGTGGTAACTGAATCGACTGAAACTTTGCTAAAATCGTTGTTATGTGCCGATCTCGCCGCACAGGATAATGGGTTGCCATATTATTGCCTTTTGTTTCTAAATAATTGGTAGTGTGTATCTCAGGTGCCTGAAAAAACATGTCACTTTCATCCAAGGCCATTAGATCTTCATCCAACGGTTGAAAATAGATCTACGTTGTCATCTTTGACCTCGAGCTTCTTCCTCACGAAGCCGCATGCGAACCCAGACCTAACCGCCTGCCTCCAAGCCCCGCGGCCGGTGGCTATCACTGCCTCGCCACCCCGCGCTCCCCTCGACCTCCCCCTACCATCATGCCGGCCGCCACGCCCCGGC